TGGAGAAGTAAGTTCTTAGCCCAAAGTCTGGACCCCAAAACTACTCTAAGAATCCTTTGGAAGGCCCAAATATCTCACCAAATCATTAAGTTTACCTGGTGTGAAAAGTTGTGGTTCAGGTTGAAAACAATCCCTATCATCATTTATATTGACATCAGATGAAACTGTATCAAGAGTCTCTGGGGGAGTAGGTACAGGTACATCAGGGCCACAAGCAACAGGTCTTATAGCAGACTGAAGGTTCAGATAAGAAATTTCCTATTTATTTCGAGTGTTGTAGCCTTGCACATTACACGAGTAAAAATAGCAGTTACCTTCATGGTTTCTAGGCTCACACCGGCCCATTGGAACTCCAAAAGGCAAAGAATTTTTCTTACCTTTAGTCCATTGTCTCAACTCAAAAACTTTGTGCAGAGTCCATGTTTTTCTTGGTCCGAAAGTTTTATACCAAAACACATGTAATACGCTTTTTTGACGAATTCTGTAATGTTTTGCCTTTGTTTCTTTACAACAAATATACCACAAATGTGACAGAATATATTTGGGTTATTTACACAACCTCTTGTTGCCATAGCAACAAATAAATAATAATTAAAAAAAGAAAATACTGTCAAAGTGCTTACATAAACAAATACTATCCAGAAATGACACGTCATGCGGCCTGTTAACCGTTTATATACCAGCAGTAGGTTTCTCATGAGTTCTAGAACGATCAATAAGACTCTCATGTTGCAATTGGTCTAGAGAAATCTATAGCCAGTGGTTTGTCAACACATTAGGCATAACGAAATGTGACCTGATTTCAATGCAAATGATTCACTTGTGTAAAAATACATATAATGTTTTGTGAAAAATCTGTACGTGATGGAGAAAAATGGATATCACTTTTGAATTCAGCATACAGGAATTACTGCAGAGCGTATAAAAATTTCAAGACAATAAAACCAGCAAAGGCCTGTATAATTTACTGTCTGACAGATAGCAAAATGTAAACATTTCTTAAAAAACACCATTTTGGTGAAAAACAAGATAATTTAGACTTTACAAAATGAAAATGTGGATAAAAATAAACAATTCAAATCAAATTCAAACTATTTGTAAAACAAATAAGATAAACTAAAAAAAAACACCAGTAGAGCTACATATATTTTAATGAAATTTGTGATTACATCTCTTGACTCAAGAGATATATCTCAAGTTCCTGGATTCTGTTGTGTCGAGAGAGATATATCTCAAGTTCCTGGATTCTGTCGTAGAGATGAATAATGTTACATCCACAAGATTGGTGCATAGTTCATGAAGACCTCTGTAGCTACACAATGAATGGAATTGTTCTAACAACAGTTTGTAAAATTGTGCAATACCTGCTGAAATTATTCTTACCAGATTGAAGAGAGCTGCTGTCCTCTGATTATTACATTTGTGCAGCAGTGCTTGAAGTAGAATTTACCCCAAACTGTGAAGACCCATACAGTCTGAAGATTTTGGTAGACCACAATTTGACACGTTCTATGACATCTTCAATCTGTAGTTTATGGTAATTTTAAGTTGCAATGCCACTTACCCACAAAGGTCTTCTGTGGGTGGTGAGGTATCCTGTAAAATTTTACGATTCTGTTGAATGCCAATTTTACAAACTGTTGTTAGGACAATTCCATTCATTGTGTAGCTACAGAGGTCATGTAGTTTTGGTTCATAACCAAAAAACTGGAAATTCTTGATGCTGGTTTGTGGTTAGTTGGTACTGAATAAACATATAGATTGTTGTGAGTATAAAAGGCATAGAATTGCATTTAGAATAACTGAGAAAGGTGTTTAAAAATTGCAAAATGTGCCAGTTTTGTGACCTGTTATTAGGAAAATTGATTGTAGTTTTTTGTCTATTGTGAGCATTCTGTACAGGGAATGGAATTCAGACTGTGTCATGCTGACCACAGATGTTGTTGACTGTTATCGTTTGCTTTGAATGAACAGGAGACATTGAGAACAACAAAGGAGGCAAATGTGGATGTGGCATTTGAGATGAATAATGTTACATCCACAAGATTGGTGCATAGTTCATGAAAAAAATCCAACAATCTGTCGACAATCTATGTAATTTTGGTTTATAACCAAAAAACTGGAAATTCTTGACACTGGTTTGTGGTTAGTTGGTACTGAATAAACGTATAAAAATCCAACAATCTGTTGTAGAGTTATTTTCTGAATTCTCATCATGTACAGTATGAGGCTTGGACAAGTCACATCATTAACTTGTCTTCATGGACTACCTACATTATATTAAACAAATTCTGTAAGAGGAGAGAACTCAAAACGTCAGTAAACAAAAATTTCACTTTAATCAAACAAAAACAGAACTAACAAATTTGTCAATTAAAAAAAACAAATTACAAACAAAGTTCCATGTACACATATTTATTACCATGTCTCTCTGTTTAATATCATGATTGTTTACACCTAGATAATCAAGTTTCACTGTATTCCACATATTCCATGTGTTTCTATTAATTACATTATTCCACCACTTCATGGCACAGCAACTGACATACAGATAATCAAGCGTTTCTGACAATATACGTCTTTGATCCCATCTGCAAATATTTACTGTCATTATTTTTGTGTGTAAATGAAGAATCCTGATCAATCCCCATCAGGCTAAAGTCACAGCAGATTTCTGAAAGAAAATGAGAAGTTAAGAGTTATAATGACATAAAAATTCATTTTTGAAAGAGCAAGTCCAAATCATGTTAGGTAGAGACAGTAAAAACAATCACACAATTTGAAACTGATAATATACTCATATAACATGCTAATCCAAATCAGAAGACCCGTATATTATTTTTTTGCTTTTATTCACAAGTACAAAATAATGAATAGGTACATTAAAAGAAATCTGTCCTGACTGGAGCTTGACCCTCCAGGACACCAACTCACATCAGTGGTCTGCTGTAGCTGCCATTAGGCCAGGGATATCCAATACATTAATATAAACCGAGTGAGAATTAGCATTTTAAATTAAGTTTTAGAAGCAATCTTCATAGGGGGAAAAAAGTTTCACAAAATAAATTATTCAGTTAATACTCAAAATGTCAATTTTTTATATTTACTTCTGATGGGGGTATACATATTGCATCATAATGAGTAATTTTCTGTTTTTGTCTGTTATGACCCCGTGTAAAAAAAAACTGTTAAAAAATATATCAATGACCTTAGAAGTAATTAGTGAGATTAATTACAATATTGACGATTCTTTTGTTTGTTATGTTAAGGACCCTTTAGCAAACATTTTCATGGCCCACAAGCATAAATAGTTAAAACAAAAACTCCACAGGTAATTCAAGGGATAAAAAGGTTTACGAGTAAGTTTTGTACGATATTAACTTTGGAAGAAAGAAAAATTATGGATCCTTCTCCCAAGAAAACACATGTGAAATGCTCATTTATACTTCCAAGGTTTTTGAGCTTCAGTCTTCATGTTCAGTGTCAATGATGTAAAGGAACCAAACAATTGGTATAATTTTAACATTAAAGTTAAACCCAGTGGGTTTAGATTTATCATCTTGGCATTTTCCTTGACTTCCAGGGTAAAAAATTTAATATAAAGTCACTAACGGTAAGACTTCTGTAATGTTCTGATTATTAAGAGGATCTAACAGCAGTAAACTAACTACTTGAGATGGATATTTTCTAAAAACAGTAGGCTTAAATGTCATTTTAAATAAGCTAGAAAACTTTATTGTAGAGCTTGCAAGTTGCAGGAAGCTGGTAGAAGACAAGCTTCAAGAACCTAAGAACACAGTCTTGCTTAATAAGAACAGGTGGAGGTACATAGAAGTAAGATATTGGGAGTTGGGGTTGACCATGTCATAAAAGGAAGAGTGATTTGGAGGATGGAGAGAGAGAGAGAATGGTTAGAAGTGAGAGAAGAATTATAGCTTAGAAGGAATATAATTTTATTTCAGTTATTAGTGTGTGCCAGAAGTGATGTATAACAAGTTAGTAAAAAACTATTTACTGGTTCCTTGATAACAGGTTGGAAACTTCAGGGAAACATGATGAATTTGACAGGACGAAGGCCCTGATGGTAATCTTCCTATAATATATGTTGTCAGACCTGTACAAAGAACAGGACGAAGGCCCTGATGGTAATCTTCCTATATTATATGTTGTCAGACCTGTACAAAG